CGGCTCACCTTCGTTTGTAATGCCACTAGATTCACCGTGATCATGCAATGGACTTTTTCGTTGGGCTCATTTTTACACCATTTGAAGTACTTGCAGTCGCGGGTACAACAATGAAACAGTAGCCCCTTATGTTCATTGTTCTTTTCGACCTCCATCCACTTGATGTAGCCCATACCACAATTTGGACATCTTCTCTTTTTTGGGCATTCCGACAGCATATGACCAACTTGTCTACAACTATGACAAATTCCTCTATTCTTTCCTATCATCATAGTAGTCTTAAACCAAGCAAGCACAAATAATATATACCAATTCTCTGCACAGATGATAACCATACAAACCATTTTTCAGATAGAACGTAAACCAATATTTTAGTTTCGAAGTGTTAAAATCGTATTTAAGTGCAATCAAAAAACATTCACACATAAATTCAGTTTAATTACATTCAAAATGAACATATCGAACGAAAAGGCAACATATCAAACTGCAATAAAAAAACAAACTAGTTTGTGTAAATTCCATTTTCCCGTGTCCATTTTCCCCTGTAAATTCTATACAATGTTGTCGTCTAGTGGTAGGTTTAAGAATGTTGTCTTCAACCAATTTATCTACAACACACAACTCATACCCGACCATTCATGGAATAAAATTCTACACTATACAGCAAAATCAAACGACATTTTATCCCACCAGATCGACTACCCCAAGCAGGAAATAAAGCTTAACAAAGAAGGAAAAATGGTACTCAACAAGATGCCCAAAAAGGGAAGGGAAATACCAGCTCCAATGCTCCAAATGGTGCTCAACAAGACGACGGTTGTAGCAATTAAATGACCGTGGAGCTTCAAGGTCTTCGGCTGGGGAGACCACGGCAGCTGGACACGACGGGTGGGCACTCTTCGATGGCTGGAATCGACGGGAAGCTTGAGGGGGAGATTTTGGGGGGAGTTTGGAATTTGGGGCTTTTGTCTTGGAGCTAAGAAAGTGCGAAACTCTTACAGTAAGGGGAGAAATCTGGGCCGGGTCATTTTTTTTGTTGCTGGGCCGGATCCGTGCCATGTCGCAAAATTGAAAGACTGTGTAATGGACTGTGAAGCATAACTGTAAGAGTAGCATTTTCCTTCTTTTAATATAAATAAGGAAAAATTGCAGTCACGGTACCAAACATTTCACATTTTTGCAGACTTTGTCCAAACTTTTGTTTTGTGCCATCCACGGTACCAAACATTTAAGCAATTTGCACCCGGAGTCCAAATGGACGGTTTCCGTCTAGTTAACCGTTAGTTGACCAAAAAAGTCAAAATTGATCAAATTCATTGAGGACAAAATGTAACTTTGTATTTTACATTTAAAAGGATTATAAAGAAAAGAAATTTAAAAAAAATTACTATTCATCTTCTTGACCCCCACCTCCCCTCACCTCACCTCACCTCATCTCACCTCAGTTTCCTTTCTCCAACCAAAGAGGTAACTACTTGTTTGTATTAGATTTGTTCGTTGAATATACGAAATCCCAATCTTTGCCCTTTTTTGTTGGTGCTGTTTTCGTGTATTATTACTTACTTTTCTGATGTATTCAACCAGATTCATTGCCATGAAGCTTTGTATCAGAATCCTTCTTCCCTCTAACTATTTATTTGTACCATCAAATTTTTCCAAATTTGAATTATTTACCCATAAGTTTCACACGAGTTCCTTCCATGTTTTGGGAATTGAATCAAATTTTAATCATGCCCAGAAGGTGATTTATGCCCCCATCTCAAACTTGGGGCCAACCTAGGATTTTATCGGGCCCTAATTTCAATAGCAGAGGTTATTATGTTGCCAGTTTTGCATCAAATATTAGGAATTTTTCGAAATCCGTTGAAACCCGCGTGAACAACCAGAATTTTGAGAAGATTTATGTCGAGAGGGTGGCCTCAATGTAAAGCCACTGGTGCCAGAAAAGATTGATTTGGATGAAACCCTAGCAAAAATAGAGGGTGAAGAAGATGAATAATAGTTTTTTTATTTCTTTTCTTTTCTTTATAAT